TTTTTCCAGCATAAGTATTAAGGTATGAAGCTTGATAAGTTAACTGAATTTCGCTCAGCATAAGTTTTGAGATATAAAGCTAGCGAGTCAGCTGAGCTTCGCTCAGCATAAGTTTGAAGATCTAAAGCTTAACGTCAAAAGTTGAATTTTATAAAAATCACATTAAACTTTTTTTTTGAAAAATTCGTGAGAAAGGAAAGTTTTTTGCTTTTTCTGAAGCAACGGCTGTTCTTACCTTGCCCAAAAACAATACAGCTCTTCTATAGAGCAGCACGGATCAAATGTAAAAAACTAGAAGTCTCTACGATGTCTCGTTATTGAGATTTCTTGCTGATTAACTTGCTTGTTCGCTTGCTTACAGAAAGCCTATTTTGCGATTTTCTCAGCAATGCCGCAACCAATTTGAAGTCTGTTTTTTGCAAAAGATGTGAAATTTCAGGCACAAACTTTTTATCTTAAAACATGTTAAGCTATCTTGCTACATTTCATCGCAAAATGCGAAAAACTGATTTTTCAATCTGAACAAAACCAATAGATTCACACGTGAAAACGGTGTGAATATAATAAATAATTGTTAATTAAAGTAAAAGTTGTTAAAGTAAAATCATTTTCTCACGGATTTGGCTTAAGCGTTGGTATATTACAATAATTGCATTAAAATTATTCATTTTTCTGTCAATTGAGTGTCTTTTAAGTCAATTTAAGTATGCAGAATCATAAAAAATATTAGAATTAACGGCAGGAGAACCATTAATAGTTGTCTAGATGTCTTTAAAGTCGGAAATTTCTGCTTTCAAAATCAGAATTCAACATTGTGTAATATACCAACGCTGACAAAAATCCAAATATTTCATTAATTAAAGCTTGATGACAAAAGTTAATTATACATAAAGATAGATCTCGGTGATTTACATAAGTAAGTGCTAAGGGGCCGTTCACTTATTACGTTCGCATTTTAGGGGGGAGGAAGGGTTTGAAAAATTGTAACAAAATGTAACAAAGAGGGAGGGGGGGGTGTCAAGAAGTATGTAACGTTCTAACTGTCGTCTGTGTTTTAAAATAAAGTTTACGAAAAAAATTTGTTTACAAATTCACACCAAAAACATTAAATTTTCCACCTTTTTAATGATTTATGAATATCCAGATCACTTTTGATAGGTAAGCAATACATAGTTTTTGTTATATAAAGTAACAAATAAATAGAAAACTGGTTTACAAGACTTTAAAATACAATCATAATTTGTGGAAATTTTCAAAATTAAATCAATCATAAGTTTAAAAGTAAATCTCTCTAAATCTGTCATTCATATGATGATAAATATGATCCCATCATTGTGATTATATCAAAGTTGATTGAATTTTCCAAAATTCGATTGGGCATAATATTTTTCATGACATTTTTGAATTTTCTTCAAAGAAAACCAAATTTTTGCTTTATATCTCAATCCAATAATTCATGAGAATACTAATAGTATCAATCAAAACATGATCTATTAAGCTATACAGTATTTTGATGTTTAAGAAAAAAATACAAAAGAAATTTAACCGTCTTTTTAGATTTAAAAGAAATAAAATGAAATTATGAACGTTCAGGGGGGGGGGGGGGGGGGGGGTTGTGAGTTGTAACATCTTGTAACAAGGGGGAGGGGGGTTAAAAAACGCGTTTTTTTGCGTAACGTAATAAGTTAAAGTCATTTGTAAGAGAGAAAATTTGATTTTAAGTCGGTTTTTTTGTAAAAATTCATCCGTGGAATCGCCCATCTGCATTAATTTCTTTAAATTAATAATATAATAAAATTACAATAGTCGTCGTGTTATTGATCGAAGGACTTCAGCGCATTTTTGACGCAGCGATCAGTATTTGATTGGATAATTAACATGGATTTAGTCGTAAAATGCAGCACAACATTTATTCACTAAAAAGGGTTTTGTCTTTCAACGATTTTCTTAAATTCAAATTTTATAACGTCACTGAATATTTGATATTTTTTTACCAAAAGTTGCTTTAAAAAACGTGGTAAAAATTCATAGCTATGGTATGATTATCAATTTGATACACTTAATTATCGTACAAAAACTGTATATCATTTAACAGTTTTTTGAGATTCAAAATTTTTCAACGGTAGGAATAAATTCGAATTTCTAAACCCTCACATCACGTGTTTTTTCATATGAAATTTAAAAAAAAAATTAATTATAGCATTTATCCATTGATTTACAGTTCTCAAATAATCGATAAGCCAATAAAAGAATGGACCTGAGCTAATAAAACAAACCAGAACTCTCTACGATGTCTGGTTAATGAGATCTCAGACACAGCTGAGCAGCCGAACAAAGTGAATTATTAAGCTACCTTTTTGAAACTCGAGTTAACTCGACTAGACTCAAAACCGAGTCAACTTCATTTTCTCGGAGTCGTATTTAAAATAAATAACAATGAAGAAATAACTCCATCTTTAAAGTTTAAAATTAAGATTGTAACTACGGAGTTTAACATAATAAATGATTTTTGACTTAAGGTTTGGAAAAGTAAATGTAGACGAGTACTAGTATATCGGGTAGAAACTCAATGCGGATATATTCACACAATACCATAAATAGTCTTGTGGAAAGGCCTAGCTTTGATCACCATTAGTTTGAAAATATAAAGCTAGACTAGTCAACAAAGCTTTGCTCAGCATATTTTTAAAAGTATAAAGCTTGACGAGTCAGGCAAGGTTTTTTGCTTTTTTTGAAGCTACGGCTGTTCTTACCTTGCGTTCCTCCCTCGTTATTGAGATTTGTTGCTTATTAACTTGATTGTTGGCTTGGTGTTTTTTGCAGAAGTATTAAATTTCAGGCACAAATTTTTCATCTTTGTACATCTCCTCTTTGTACATCTTGCTCCGTTTCGTCACAAAATTCAAAAACCAGAATACGGAGTGAATATAAAAAAAAGATGTCTGCACCAGAGGTAGAATGAAGTCTCCAATAGATTCTCTCTTCATGCAACGAAAAATTAAAAAAATTAACAAGGTATAGACATTATTGATGGATATAATTTTAGGTTTTTCTTTCAGGTGAGTTTTGATAACTTAATAAAGACTTAATTCCTTGAAACAACACGAAAACTTTTAACATTTTTAATGCAATATCCTTTAGAATAGAATGTATTTGTTCACATTTTGTCTGTTCATCCTACAGGCACAAAATATTTCCATCTTTGGAAAAGCTTCAGAATTTTGTATGGTATCGAAATGAAGGTAATAACATACAAGTCTGAAGACAAAAAAAATCACTTGATATGATCATTAAAATTGTAATGCTTCCTCATTTAAGCCCAAATAGCTAAACATGCGCCTTTGTTGTTGACACTTAACAGAACAACTTCCGAAGCATCTTCTCAAAAAAACATCCATGAATCCTCAAGATTGTCTAAATTCATATTTATCTCAAATTTATATTATTTTTAGTCAATTGTGCAATCAATCCATTACTGTTTACTGTTACAGGCATTGAAGCAGAGCAGTCCGAGATAGAGGCAAAAACGTTCTTTAGCACACACGTTGAGCATAAATGAAATAAAACCTTGTCCAAGGTTATATGCTTATCAATAAGCATCTGTTATTCTTACAAAAAAAAATCATCAGAGGCTCATTTGTATATTTAAACTGCACGACAAGTACCTATCATTGTATCTTATGTGAGTTTAATTGGGTGTGTGTGAACAGGCATCGAGACAAAAAATAGCAAGAATCATTTACGATCAAGCGATCAATGTTGTTGATGCCACTCTAGATCAAGGTTGAACCAAAACAAATGCCACAACAGCAAGTCTCACAGATATAAAAGCTGATTAACTTGAGTTAATTCTAAATTAAAGAAGTTGTTGAAAGTAAACATACTTCGAACTCAAGGGATATTAAATTGAGAAGATACTAAGAAAATTGCTTTGTTAAGTTTCGACAATAAAGTCACATAGAAAGCCTTCTAAGCTTAAGTGAGAGAGCAAAATAATTTTAATATCCATATACAATGACTTTTCTGTCTTCAGAATCGTATGACATTATCTACATTTCGTCACCATTACGAAGTTCTGAAGTTGTTCCATTGATAGGAACATTCAGAGTCTGCAGCAGGCATAGACAAAATGTAAACAAATGTATATTATTTCAAAGGAAAATGCTCTTGAAATGACAAAAGTCCTAGTGATTTATTAAATTCCTTAATACCTTAATACCCACTTCCCTATCTTATAAAAAGCCTATGATCTTTAAGCAGTGGAAGTAATTCTTTGAATGGCTTTAAATTTTTATGCGTAAATGGAAAATTTTGAGAATTCACAAAAACTCTAGCAAAGTTATCCCATTTATTTAAACCAACTTATCTTTGTTATCCTCAATGTCTTGCTGTTTCACTGTCTTCTTGCTTCATTTCAAGGATTCTGAATGTTTTTCCTTGTTTACTTATCATATTCACACAAAATTTTCAATTTTTGTGAATATATTTTAATTTTTTCAAATCACATTACTTTTACACATCACTTTAATTTTCCACTCAAAAAACACTTCTCCAGTTCCAAAATGTCGATTCCATAAATGTGGCCATGCTACACTTCATTACTCAAACTATAAATGATTAAAATCGCACACGAAATTGAAAACACGACTGCTATCTTTGATGATCTTCACAACACTGAAGGAAAAATAATTCAAAGGTAACTGAGATAATTGAAAAATTTTAAATATCAAATTTTTTCTTGCAACAAAATTGCTATTGACTCTCTTAGTGTATTGGACGTGTAATTTCAGGATATGATGGGATATCTCAATTCTAATGCATACAGGCTCAGAGATTTTTTTGAATATTTTTGGGATAAATGGGATATTTGGGAGTTTCCACGCCTTGATTTTAAAGGAGCTGGAAGATTGAATATGCAACAACATCTACATATAGAAAAGTTTTAAGACTACTGATTTTGATTAACAGAATTCACTTAATTTATATACTTTATTCATGACATCAAAGTGGTTCATTTATTTTACATTTAAACGACTTTATCTGCAAACTTCTTTAGTTGCTTACGATCAGGTATGTGTTTAAATTTATGCTTTTCGCCTTTTGTGCTGTCATCTTTATTCATGTTTACAAGTTTTCCATATCCTCGATTTCCTGGACGACGTTCTGGTTTCTTGAATTTATGTGACATTTCTGTTAAATAAATAATTAAATTAATAAATTGCAGTAAATTAGTCACTAAATGTCCATACTTAGATCAACTGCTGGTGGTTGATTAAAACCGAAACTTTTTGCAACCTGTTGCAAATCCAATTGTCCTAAACTAAAGATTGTCTTAAGCTGATGAGAGTCATATGATCGAACAAATGATTTAAATGCTTCTTTTGCTGATTGATTCAAAAAGTAATTTTTCGCTATCAAACTCTCCAACTAGATAAATATGTCATTCATTATTAATAAGACAAAATGATTATTGTTAATAGCTTACTTGTAGCTGAATATCTGCAATTTTACTCCATGAAAATTCAAACTCATTGAGTGGCACTTTTGCTTGTTTCAAATACCTCAAAAAACCGACTTCTTCTTGTCTAAGAATTAATAACGCATGTCCTGAAGAACCTTCACCACGAGCTGTTCTACCCACTCTATGGATATACTCTTTAGGATCATCTGGAGGATCATATTGAACAATCCAATCAACAGCTGGAATATCAAGGCCACGAGCTGTAAGCATAAACATATTTATAGGACCAAAATTATACAAGGTTCTCAATATTTAACTTACCAGCAACGTCAGTGCAAAGTAAAATACCAGACTCGGCATTACAAAATTGAAAGAATGTTGTTGTTCGCTTTGCCTGCTTTTGTTTTCCATGAATTGAAGTTACAGGCAAATCAATGTAGTTGAAAAGTTCATGATGATATTTTACAGACAAACATGATGAAAAAAAGACCATTACCTTCTTCTTTCGGTTCTTTTTTAAGAAGGTAAAGAGCACTAAAAGGCGTTTATCAGATGGACAGACAATATATCCTTGTTCAAGGCCATCAACAGTTGCTTCTTCCTTATTATCATCTACACCTACATAAATTGGTTCTTTCTTTAATGCCAATTTACTAAGTGCTTCTGTTTTCTCCGTTTGAGTTGCAGAAAACAGCATTGTTTGTCGACGTTTTGGTAACAATTTGACAATTTGTTTCATATCCTCCTCAAAACCAATTTCTAATATTCTGTCAACTTCATCTATTACTAAAATCTGAAGATTTTTGTACAGAAAATCGGGTGTATTTTGTAAATGATCGAGAAGTCTTCCAGGAGTTGCGACAATAATATTTAAACCTTTTGACAGTTTATCACTTTCAAATTGACGATTTGCACCGCCCATTAATAAGCCATACGTTTGATGGTGATGTTTATCCATTAGTTCTTTTAAAACACCAAAAGTTTGCATTGAAAGTTCTCTTGTTGGACTTATAATGATTGCTCCAGTGCCATTTCGAGGCATAAACTTTAATTTATGAATCAATTCAACGACAGGAATTAAAAATGCCAATGTTTTTCCACTGCCTGTTTTCGCAGAACCAACTAAATCTCGGCCCTCAAGCAGTGGAGGAATTGATTTTGCCTGTATTTCTGTCATTTTTGTGAATCCCATTTCATTTATCGCTCTCAACGATGCATCACTAATTTTACCTTTTAATGACTCGAAACTATTATCGCTCAATAATGTCTCCAACATTGTTGATGTTCCTGGCAATTCTTCAAGATTATCGTTTTCTTCTTTAGTTCCATTCTCATCAGTTTCCATTGATTCCTCATCTGCATGTCCATTATTTCCATTGACTGTCTTTTGTTTCTTCTTTTTCTTATTCTTGACTTTATCATCCTCGTTCTTTTGCTTCTTAGGCTGTTCAATTGGATCTTCCGCAACATTATCTACAGCATAAATGAACATAAAGCATGAAGATAATTCTCGAAAAAAAATTTTAAGCACATTTTACCTTCAAAACTATCATTTTCCTCCTCCATCTGCTTATTTTTCAGCTTTTTCTTTATCTTCTCACGACGTGCAATTTTTTGCATTAAGATTTTCTCGTGACTTTTCATGATTTCCACTGGTTTTCACTAAAATATTTTTCAATGTTTTGATAGTTCAAACTCACATGTGTTTAAAAATTTCCGGTTACGTTCCCTTTGTCGGAACTCCATAAAAAAATTACACATCGTCTAATCCGACGGTAACAATGCTTCCAACTCAATTCAATGCAACAAACAGCAACAAAATTGAAGATCTATGCCCAATTAATTAAGAAGCTACGTTTCGCCGTATCTATGATAAGTATCAATCATAAATATACGATAAATGCACTCTTTTGTGAGTGACGCCTAGTTAAAGTAATTTCTTTAAGTAACTGTATATTTTCAAGAAGTGGATTGTACAACAATTGATGGGGGTTATAATTCTCTTTATCAATAAGGAGATAATCAAGAAAGACAAAGCAACACTCACGTACAAATTTTGTTTGTGACGAGGCTCTTTGAATATATGACTTCCTCTTAAACTTGTCTTAAACTGAATAAGATGAGCATCCGGTGCTGGATGGATATTTCTATCGTTATGATAACATTTTCCTTATAAAAATTGTAAATTTTTAAATCTAAATACTGCGGTTGACATGCTTTGTGAGATCACCAGTTGAACTTGCATAAAATTTTCAGTTCAAACTGATCGAAACAAGTTTATTGGTACCTCAATCTAGAAATCCCTAAAATGCAGCTACCCTAATATGCAGATAGTACTGCCAAGATGCAGATGGTACTGCTAAAGTGCAGATGAAATTTATTTTCCCTAAAATGCAGATGAAATGCTGTTGCTTTAAAAAAGGTATAATGCAGATGATTGTTATCGTATAAAGTGCAGATAAGATGCTGCCCAAATGTAGATCGTATAATTTTATTAAAATACATCATATTCGATGACTTTTTTTTCTTGATACGTGTTAATAAAAAGAAATTCCATACAAATTTTCACCTTAAAGTGATTTAAAATCCCAAAAAAATCCCCAAACAAAATGATTTAAAGCATAAATCAAAAATAAATCACTTGGGAAAGATGATTTAAATCCCCTCCATGCTAATTACATCAAAATTTCGTGTAGCAAAGTAATTTAAAGTCATAAAGTTTGCAATGTATTCAAAAATGCATTTTTGTTTTTCTGAACTTTTTTAATAACATCAACTAGTGTATCGGGTAGAAACCGAATGCGGATATATTCGCACCGTACCATCAAAAGTCTTGTGGAAAGACCAAGCTTAGCTCAGTATTAATTTGAAAATATAATTTACGAACCAGCTGAGCTGTGCTCAGCATATGTTTGGAGGTTCAAAGCTTATCGAGCATTATTTAAAGTTTTTTAAGGACATTTTTCATCCAAAGTTGAATTTTATAAAAATCACAGTAAACTTTTGTTTTAAAAAATTCGTAAGGAAGGAAAGTTTTTTGCTTTTTCTGAAGCAACGACTGTTCCTACCTTGCCCAAAAACTATACAGCTACTCTATAGAGCAGCACGGATCAAATGTAAAAAACTAGAAGTCTCTACGATGTCTCGTTATTGAGATTTCTTGCTGATTAACTTGCTTGTTTGCTTGCTTACAGAAAGCGTATTTTGCGATTTTCTCAGCAATGCCACAACCAATTTGAAATCTGTTTTTGAAAATGATGTAAAATTTCAGGCACAAACTTTACTTCTGAGACTTTTTATAACCAATTTTGCTTCGTTTTCTCACAAAATGCGAAAAACTGATGTTTCCATCTGAACAAAATCAATAGATTCACAAGTGAAAACGGTGTGAATTTAAAAAATACATTTGTAGATATATCATTGAAAGCTGACAAAGTTTTAACAAAATTCACAAAAAATATTCGTGAGTAAAGCTTAATTAAATTGATTTTCTGACATAACGCCTTAACTTTAGGAAGTAAGTTCTATGTAAAAAGAAAGCAATTTTTATTTTTAACAAGATATAATAACTTTGAAATTTGTCACTATTGTGGTTTCGGAGATATTTAAGAAACCAAAGCGTCACTCACGAATAATTTCTTTTTTCGTCGGTGCCCGAAAAATTAATATCCAACGTTAAATTATCTACATTATAACAGCATTTCATCTTTATTTTAATAAAATTATACGATCTACATTTGGGCAGCATCTTATCTGCACTTTATACGATAAAAATCATCTGCATTATACCTTTTTTAAAGCAACAGCATTTCATCTGCATTTTAGGGAAAATAAATTTCATCTGCATCTTGGCAGTACTATCTGCATATTAGGGATTTCTAGATTGAGGTTTTATTGGTATATTCGTAAATTTTCTTTTGTTTCAGTACATGATGAATTAAAATAATAAAGATTATGATGATAGGTAATCGGTTTTAAATATTTTGATTATGGTAAAAAGTAAATAATCGACAGTTGTAACGATTATTTGAAGAAACGTTACATATTATGGATTTATTTTATCCATTTAATTAGAATAGCGAGTTTAACTTTCGTAGTCCCAGAAGAATTCATTCATTTCGAAGTTAAAATTTAATTTAAATGCCTTGTAAGCCTTTACAGCTTTCTCGATCAATTCCAATTGTTCAACATTTAGCTGTGTCCATTTTTCAGTGTTGTGCAAGTTGTCATAATGTCTGCAAAATATGAAAGTTAAAAAACATTACTTGAATGGTAATACAATCGCTTACATTTGAATATATATGAGACTAAGCTGCTTCAAACGCTCCAAATCATACAAGCTAGCCAGCATAAAATATTCAACAGCATTTACAACAGATAAAGTGTCTATCATATGAGCAATGCACAGAGCCTTCAAGTTTTCAATTTGATATTTTTCTGCGCCATAAATAATGTCTTGCAGGTGATCAGAAATGCCATCAATTTTTTGAGTATACATGAACAACAAAATCTTATTCATAGCAGTTCCATCAATGTCAGGTACTTGTAACTTCTTATCAATCGATTCTTTCATGTTAGTCAACATCAATGCCTTCAAAACAGCTGAGTTCACGGACAATATATTTCGGTGGACTCGAAATTCTCGTTGATCAGAACAGATGATTGTAAAGTCACTAAAATCTCCAGAACAAAAAAGATCACTAAAATTTGAGCGTAAAAGTTGATCATTCATTTGCGTTTTGGGTTCATTGGGGAAATTTCCTTCCATCAATTCCATCTTAAATTGAAATAAAATGATAATTAATTATTCTTAGAATTACCAGATTGCATTAATACCTTAATATACATATCGAGATGAATATCTCCTTCAGTTCCATCATATCTAGCAAAATTTTCAAACTTCATGCGCAGTGATTCACGATAACAATAACTAAACGAAGATGCCGAACCTGTAACATGTTCAACATACATAGGAGCTTCTGTCTTAACCCTCTGTTCGTCACAATTGTCTTTATTCAGTTGTGGGATCATGCATGTAATTCGAACATTAAAGTCGTTGAATTTAGAGTTTTCTCTCTTGAAGTAAAGCTTAATTCCTTTGTAAGTAATTTCACTGATAAATACCCTGAAATAGCAATTTATCTGTACTACTGGGGGTCCTCGATTTGAGTAGTTGTTTTGTTCCAAAAAATTTCTACTCAAATCGAATCTATTCAAATCGAGGAAAAGAATCCATACAAAATGACATGTTTTGTTCCTGAGTCCAAAAAATGTATCAAAACAATGAAAATTTTGATCATTTTTTGCACATTTTACCTCGTTGCTTAACTTTTCCTAAGTGTTTTAGACAAATTAATTTATTTCAACGCATATTCATATTGCTTTTAAACGGAAATTCACAAAAAATATGTTTTTGAAACAAAACAAAAATGTGAGAACCTTGCAAATGTTATTTCACTGAACAATTTGTAAGGTTTTTGAATTTGAACTTTTTAAAATCGTTGATTTTATATCGATTTTTTAAAATTTTACTTTAATTTTGTAACTTTAGTATTGATTTTTCTATCAATATGATAAGTTTTTGCTTATCGCAGTAAAATTTATGTTTTAAAATTATTTTCTGAAATGTTTTTATCAAAAATATTTGTTTTGTAAACAATTCAAATCGAAGAAAACAGGAAGAAATCTACTCAAATCGAATATTTTGGTGGGTAATAAATTTTCTGTTCAAATCGAATCTACTCAAATAGAATCTACTCAAATCGAGGACCCCCAGTATTAGAAAAGAAGAAGTGATTTGCTTACCATTTGATTTTCTTATCGCCAAGCATCATTTCGAACTTCTTTGTTCCCAAAATGTCTTCTTTACCTTCACATCCATCATCAATTGGTGGATAAAAGTTTTTGATCTTACAGTTAAATAGCAAAGATGAAGATGCCATGTTGATGATGCCTGATGTCAATGAAATTCATAAATTATTTAATATTTCATGCAAGTTGATGAAATTAAACATAATAAAGGCAGGTTAAAAATTTCATTTCTAAATTAGACATGAATTCTAGGATTCATGAAATTTATCAAATAATATAACAATTACATACCTTAATAGCCTTATTAAATGTCGTTAAATAATATTTTTAAGCAAGAACTTTTTATTTGTTTTCACTTTTCAGAGAAGTTTATTTTTGCTGAAAGCTGAAAGTAAACAAATTCAAAAATTTCTTAATATGGAGATCGATGAGGAAGGTAAGAAACTGTGAACTCCTTTTGAAATGAAAATTTAAGATTAAGTATCATATCCATGAGAAGTTTAACTAATCATTTATTATTAAAAGCGATCAATATTTTGGAAACAAAGATTAAAAATGATAAGAACATCGTAAGATATAATTTTGTGTGGCAGATCCATAACTTTACAAAAGAAAACGTCGACAGCATTCAAGAGAAAAAAAGTTTAGGAAGCAAACATTTTGACATTTTGCTTGGAGATAATTTAACGAAATGGTAATAAATTCCACAGTATAAATCTTATCAATCCAATCTTTATCTTTATTTTAATATCAGGGAGTGTAATGCCATGATCAATCACTCAAGATTGGTTTTCTACTTGCATAAGGAGAAATCTGTCGAAAATTTTTTTAATGTTCAAGTTCATTGCTACATTCCATCCAAAAATCCAACTGACGATGATATTTTTGTATTTTATCGTGACGAATCAACGTCTGGAGATTTGTTTGAGAGAAGTGATCGAGAAAAAAATGTTGTGGCTTGGCTGCTTTTATCTCAAGTTTTGAGAGATCCAACGAATTTTATTCAGGATAACATCCTTACAATATGCTTACAAGTACGTATTAAAAGATCTATTCACCTACTAAATTCTAGATCCACCATTTATGAATGACTGATTAATATTATTGCTTCATTTTTACTATGATTAATTTCGTGCAGATTAAATTATTCGGATATGGCTATGAGGACGAAGACATTGAAAGGAAATACAAAGAAACCATTTGCTCAAATTTCAAGGAACTTTACTACTCTGGTGATTTTAGTGACTTTACTATCATTTGTGCTGATGGCGTTAGATTTCCTGTTCATCGCTGTATTATGTTTGCCTATTCACCAGTATTTAAGGCCATGCTGCAAACAAACATGATTGAGTCAAAAAATAACGTTATGAAGTCAATGACATTGATGGACATGATATGAATGGAATACTGCATTTTATTTACACACAGGAAATCGAGAACATTTCTGAAAACCTTCAAGGCTTAATGTATGGTGCTGAAAAGTATCAACTTTTGGAATTAAAAGAGCGATGCATTAACTATATGGATACATTTATAAGCCGTGATAATGCAATACAGTTTTATAAGATTTGTTGTTTGTATGACATAAAACGGATGGTTCCGTTGTGCATCAAGTATATCTATACGTAAGATTCCATAATATTATTAATTATTCGACTGCTGAACCTTATTTTCAAATATTTTTGAAAGCTCGTTAAGTTTTAAATACCAGTTAATTGTTATCTTCCTTTTTTCTAGCTTTTACAAGGAATTAAAGGCGACAGATGAATGGAAAGACTTAAACATTTTCGAATTAAACTACATCGAGGAAGCTTTAAGAGATTATGATGTTCGATTTAATGTTGTAAAATCACAATTGTAATGAAATTTATAATAAAATTACATGAAATCAGGTAGGAAGCAGTAAATTTAATTCAATTTCATAAGAATTAGCAACCAAATTCTCTACATCGTCGGCACTGTTGCAAAGATATTTAATAAAATTTCCGGTTTAATTTTCAAACGTTCCATCTTTCTACGTGAATCATTGGACATAGTACATAACAAATAATGTAATTATCCTCATTGTCCATAGCTCTGTTTATTAAAGAATTCCACATCGACTTTATTTTCCTTCTTTACTTCCATTCAAATAATTTTTATGACATTAAAGCTTTCTTTCTTGCATCCTATCTACATAATAATGTCGGTAACATAAGCATTAACGTCCTCATGACACAGTGCATAAAAAAAGACAGCAAATATTGTCTGTAGAATAAGAACGGCAAACACATAACTGAGATTTTTTTTTTCATTTAGACAATGTTGAACGAGAGCAATTTTTTACGTTAACCCGAGCGACATTTATCCGCTTTATTGCAGCCATAAGGTGGTCATAAGTCGTTGCCTACTGCCAACTACCTTAAGTCAAGGCAGATCGATAATCGTCATACGACTGCCTTATTGCCTTAATGGCAACTCCTGACCTCTATATTTCCGCGCGCAAGGCTGTCTTGAAACTGCCACTGACTTGTAACCGACTTGCCTTGTAATCGCCTTGAAGTTGACGAGGTGGCACTCATACGACAGCTGTATGATCGACATACAACAATGCCTTAATACTGCCATAAAATTGCCTTGACCAATCTGAAATAAAATTACAAAAATAAATCAAAATTCAAAATCTGGATTTCAGTTAGGAGTTTATTACAATTTTTTATAATCAAAAACAAATTAAGATAAGAGATATCAATATTAAACTTTTTCGTTAGCTTTTGAATCAGCTTTCTTCATTTTACGAACAATTTCATTGTGGTCTTCATCAAAAAAGCGGATTGCGGAGTGAATAAATTTTTTTGCAGCATCTAAATTGGTGTAAATTCCTTCGGTGTGTGCTTTAATGACGTCAAAAGAGAAATATGTCCGAGATTGTTACGAATCTCAACACGACCTGAAAAGGAAATCAAGAATAAAATATTTCATTATAAAAGTATCTTTAAAATGAAATCAATTAAAAATACCATCATAATTGGACCATCCAACCTCTGATAAAAAGAAGTCTGAAGAAAAATACAGCTTTAGTAGAGAGATCGCTAGCCCATTTTTCGGTTCACCTTTTGATTTATCATTTACCATGCGTTTTGATAGATAACCCACCTAAAATAACAATCGAATTGTTAAGCTATGTTAAAATAGAAATATATAATAATACATACCAAGTTACAACGCTTTTTTTCAAATTCAGGATCAAAATTTGCTTGATTGTCAAATAAACTTAGCTTATGCTCAACAAAATCGATTAGTTGCGTGCTTTTAACTGGAAAAATTCTTATTTTTACAATAATTTAAGCACTTTAGAATTATTTACATCACTGATGGCTTCCATATCAACGTCTCTTGTAATATTTCAAGTCCAAAAAGCACTTTTAATTGACTCATTTTAATTATTTAATTAACTGACGAACCTAACACGTTAAACGATATGACACAAATGATTTAACAATGAAAAAATTCTTTTGTTCTACTCTATTGTTATTGTAGCAGCCACAAGGCAGTCACATGGCAGTCACAAGGCAGTTACATGGTAATCGCAAGGTAGTCACATGGTAATCGCAAGGCAGTCGCATTTTAATCGCAAGGTAGTCACATGGCGCCTATAAGTCAGTTACAAGGCAGTTACAAGTGAAACTGCCTTACAACTGCCTTAATCTTTTCAAGGCAGTGTGGTGGCAGTCTCAGAACTGCCACTGCCACAAATTGTCGCTCGGGTAAGCTTTTGAGAGCTTTGCTTCATGTTTTCATTCACAGATAACTTGCTCAATTTTTGGGGTTGTTCTATGATTTCTATCAAAAAATGATATTCATAACCCCATTTCACTTTTTTTTTGTGGAAAAAAAAATTCAAACACACCAACACCCCCCCCCCCCCCCCCCCCCCAAATGATGGATATCATAAGTGAATGAACCCCATTCTTCTACTCCTTCTCATTTCGTCTTTCAAATTTTGAAACGAAATGAGGAAAAAATAATTTGAAAAAAGTGAGAATGTGTCATTGGGGAGTTTCTTATTGTGTCAATGTTAAATCGTAACAAACAAAACTTTTCTTTTCATCCTTTTATGGATGAATGTTTTTTAGTGTATGTGATAAGATTGCATAAAATTGATAGAAAAAAATTTCGAATTCTTTAAATTTGCCTTTAAAGAAATTCCTTTTCACATTCTTGTGTTTATTTAGTTCCTTTTCTTAGTGCAAAGATTGGAGGGTAGGGAATGCTGAGGATAGTCAATTTTGATTGACTTATTTTGTTGATTTTTGAATTCTTAAAATCGTTGAATTTTGAATTTTTTGAAAACCGCTAAAATTTGAATTCTTAAAAACCGTTAAATTTAAAATTCTGAAACCCGCTTACACTGTCACTAAATCCTCAATTCCATTCACATTCCATCTTATACACTCCGATTTCCTTGCGAAATCTCAGAAGGAAGAACAATTGTTATCAGATTAAATTGTTGTTATAAACTTTAGTGTCACGAGAAGTGGTGAAAACAGAAGGAAATGAACGTTGACGATGCTATCACCATCATCAGAAAATCAGCTTAAAAGCTTCTTTTTTTTGCACGTGTGGTTGCCATTTTTTATAATTAATTCCACACCAACAATAAAATTTAATTTTTTAGCAGACATTTTTTTAATTATAAAGGAATTAAGCTTTAATTAACATGATGCTGACTGATGAGCGAGTAAATGAAACGTGCATTATTTTTATGTAGTGCTAAAAAGAGAGAAGCAAAAGACAACGAATAAAATAAAAGCGAAGCCATAGAAATGCGTTAGAGTACGTGAGCTGAATATTCTGTATTTTTTGCTGCATTTGTCATTCCTGATGAAATTTTTTTTCACCATCCGTTTCTATATTTTGATCGCATTTTTCTCGCATCTGTTTGTAGTTGTGTAATTTTTATTTAAACTTTGGATAGGAAGTGATGAATAGTAAAGAGAATTTATTGAAAATGCCTGTGAATGTGAAAATGCTATGTATATGGAATTAAACCCTAACAGACAAAGAGCATGGTCTTGATCAAGAGTACGGTTGAGAATACGCTTTTTTAACATCTTCTCAAGATCACAGTATAGAGCATGTTCAATAGCATACTCAATCATACTCTAGTTTTGAAAACTTGCATGCAAGTTAATTTGCTTCATGATCTTTTATATACTCTCAAGAGCGTGATCGGAAGAATACATGAAAAACATGCTTAATAGCATACTCATAAAGTCATGTTCTATGAAACCTGGTTCTGAGCATGTACTTTTATATACTCTGTTGATCACACTCTTGTCCATAATCTACTAAGCATGGTTTCCAACCAACTAACTCGATGATAGTCTTAAGATGATGCTTCTGAGCATGTACATTTATATACTCTGTTGATCACACTCTTGTTCATAATCTACTAAGCATGGTTTCCAACCAACTCACTCAATGATAGTCTTAAGATGATGCTTCTGAGCATGTACATTTATATACTCTATTAAACCTGCTCTTGTCCATAATCTACTAAGCATGGTTTCCAACCAATTAATTCGATGCTACTCTTAAGATGATGCTTCTGAGCATGTGCATTTATATACTCTATTAAACCTAAGCTTTAAAAACAAATGTCAAATCATTATTATCTCCTTATTTAAGAGACTTGACGTTCAAAATGAATGTTGCTTCATGATTTTCTTCTTATTTAAGAGACTTGACGTTCAAAATGAATGTCATGTCATGATTTTCTTCTTATTTAAGAGACTTGACGTTCAAAATGAATGTCAAGTCATGATTTTCTTCTTATTTAAGAGACTTGACGTTCAAAATGAATGTCAAGTCATGATTTTCTTCTTATTTAAGAGACTTGACGTTCAAAATGAATGTCAAGTCATGATTTTCTTCTTATTTAAGAGACTTGACGTTCGATTTTGTATGTCAAGCATAAAATTTCATCATTTCACAAGACTTGACATTCGATTTTGTATGTCAACTGTTAAAGTTTCATCATTTTATGAGACTTGACATTCGATTTTGTATGTCAACTGTTAAAATTTCATCATTTCACAAGACTTGACATTCGATTTTGTATGTCAAGCATAAAATTTCATCATTTTATGAGACTTGACATTCGATTTTGTATGTCAACTGTTAAAATTTCATCATTTTATAAGACTTGACATTCGATTTTGTATGTCAACTGTTAAAATTTCATCATTTTATGAGACTTGACATTCGATTTTGTATGTCAACTGTTAAAATTTTATCATTTTTTGAGACTTGACATTCGATTTTGAACGTCAAGCATAAAATTTCATCATTTCACAAGACTTGACATTCGATTTTGTATGTCAACTGTTAAAATTTCATCATTTTATGAGACTTGACATTCGATTTTGTATGTCAACTGTTAAAATTTTATCATTTTTTGAGACTTGACATTCGATTTTGTATGTCAAGCATAAAATTTCATCATTTTATGAGACTTGACATTCGATTTTGTATGCCAAGCATAAAATTTCATCATTTAACAAGACTTGACATTTGATTTTGTATGTCAAGAATAAAATTTTATTTCGGTCGAATATTTTTTAGTATAAAAGAAAAGTTTCACTTAATTTTTCTTCATTCGCATTTCATACCTCAAAGAGTAAACATCTAAAATAATGGCTGGAAAAAATTCTAAAAAGAAAAGTGATCAAGTCGTGCAGAATAGGCCATTCTTGTGCGCAAGCTTTGATGATGGCTTGATGATGGTTGTTCACACAACATGGATAAAAGAACAGTTCAATGAGTCGCGCTATGAGGTGTACTATCCAAAAAAAATGCTTCATCCCTTGTATCAAAGAACATTCCGAAGGAAAATATCATTCTTTGGGACTCCAAGCCAGTGATTATAGAATGTTCTCATGGTATGTTTTTAAAATTTTGTTATTTTTAATAACATTTAATAATTTTTTATGAATTTATCCTCAATTTAGAAACTATGATTCAGGCTCGATGTCACCAGAAGGAACTTTCTGCTTCTGATGATGAAAGTAAGAAGCGTATCAAAGTACGCAAGGACCCACTGCTTCAAGATTTAGAGAATGTAATTAAGATCTACAACTTTTTCATTTGTTAATCATACTACTAAATTCAAATTTTCTTTTAGACTGTTCGAGATCAAACCGATGGAGATGCATCAAAGCAAGTACAAAATGCAATGTCTGTGATTGAGGAAACTGTGGCTGAGGAAACTGTGGCTGAGGAAACTGTGGTTGAGGAAAATTCAAGTGAGCGAATCGATCAGCTTATTGAAGGTGCGGTGACTGTTGACGATTTGAAGATAATTTTGAAATCAATGAATGGCCAATTGAAACGTAAGAATGAAGACTCTCCAACAAATGATGGTAATAAAAAGAGCAGAACCAATCCCATTGAAAAGAAAATTGCATCGATCGAGGACTTCAATATGTTCTTAATAAAAGCCACCGAATCACAGGAATATAAGGAAAATCTCGTAAGTTTCTAGTTATATACAAATATTCATTAAGTAATGTATTAATTTATTCTTTACTTTAAACAGGTTCGTTATTGGAAAAAAATGCCGGGAACTGAAGGCATGACAAAGTTTGGCAATGGAAAGCTTCATGCCATTTTATTATCAATCTTTGATTTACAGTTTTTGAACGATTCGGTTTTATGGGGAAAATTATGTGTAAAGGAGGATGCTGCAGGAGACAAAAAGCTGTATCTGAAAGTCCATGGAATATTTTTGGAAATGTTGAAAGATGTCCTTAATCTCGATGATGGAAATCCCACAAAAACTTTGGGAGACTTTATTAAAAACATCCTTAATAACAAGATTAAGCGTGACATGAAAGCTATCCTTAAGAATTCGAAAAAGAATTAAATGTAGAAAACTGTTAAAAGTAGTTTTATTGAAAGAATAAATCAGAGAAAATAATAAAGAACATTTTAAATTTATGAAATATTAATATTTTTTTCATTTTTTGTCATTTATTTCAGGATTTGAATTTGAATCATTTGATATGAATTAATATATCTTTAAAATACGCTCAGAAGCATAATCGCTTAAGTATGTTTTGTAAACATGATCTTTAGATCATGCTTAGTAATATATTCATTAGAGTATGCTTTAGAGTGTACTCCAATTACTATGATCTTTAAAATATGCTCAGAAGCATAATCGCTTAAGTATGTTTTTGTAAACATGATCTTTAAAACATGATCAGCAGAACATGCTCTTGATCATGCTCTCAAGTTCAACTTGCATGAAAACTTGCAAGTAAAAAAAGCGTACTCTTGAGAGCGTGATTTTTATGGTACCGTACTGCGATCTCCATTTATATGGGAGAGTGCGCTAATTTAGCGTCATCAAATTAAATAATTGATTTTTAAAA